GATCTAGAGTTTGAGATTTATTAACTTTTGGTGGTCTACTTTCTTGGTTTTTTGCATTTCTCGTATCTCTTTTTGGGTCTTTGTTCATTTCGGCAGGGAGTTTCACTCGGGTCTTGGACCTCTGCGGGAAGTCTGCTCTCTGGTCAGTTTGAATTCTAGTAGGTTGGTGGATACCGCCCTGCCAGTCCCGTAAGGTGTGTGTGTTCTGCATCTCGCTATCGGGGCGTTTTCACACTCTGTGTTCACTAGGTGGGGCTGTTGAGCCTTGCAAAGGGTTCCCGCAGGGTGTGTAATTATTGTTGTTTTTTTTTCCCCCGAGACTCCGCCTCCTTTTGCTGGACCCCTCCCCACTCTGTGTGCTCAGAACAGGGCTGAGGCATGTCTTCTGCACACCTCGTCTTTCAGCTGAGACATCAAAGCTGTGCCCTGCCCCGCCCTGCCCAGAAGGTGTCTAGTCTCTCCAACTGCAGGGTGTGAGCTCCTCGGGGGAGGGTCCCACAGCACACAGTTCCTCTTTGACTCCCCCCAGCACGGGTCGCCTGGGGCGCCCTCTGGGAGTGCTCTCCGGCAGCTTCAATCCAGCTCCAGAGCACTCCAGGCTCCCCTCTCCCAACCAGAAGTCAGTTAGGGGTTCTTCCAAACTGAGGCCCACAGAGATGGTATCTGCCTCCCGGAAACAGGGAGTTTACCTGGGGCCGAAGCCCAGGGTGTGGTGGAGAGACAATCTGGGTGGACTCCTCTTCTCTGCCCTCCTGACACTGGCCGGGGGCTTCCCACGCTACCAGCCCCGTCAGAGATCCATGGGGAGAGTGGGATTGTAGGCCGGTCCACAGGCCCCGGGGTGCCCCACATCGAGGTAAGCAAGTGGCACGCCTCAGTGAGAAGCCGCGCCAAGCAGAGATGGCTGGCCTGCCTGCTCTAAGCCGGCCGTCTCCGCCCCCACCTGAGAAAATGGAGGCAGGTGTGTTGCGGGCGCCTAGCCTGGTGTGGTAGGCGGGAGCCAGGCGGGCGGGGAGCAGTCGGGTTTCACCCCGCAAGTGAGGCTGGACTGGGGGTGACTCACAGAGCTCGCAGAGTTGGGCCGGTCCGGCGCCTTCCACTCCATTTCTGTGTCGTCTCTGCTGACTTACTTGGCCTTTGTTGTCTCGGGCTGCTCGCTCGAACCCGCAGCAGGGCTTGGGCGCTCTCAGGAGTCTTCTTTTGTGTCGGCCCTAAAACCTCGAACCTCTTGTTGCTTGTTTGTCGAGGAAGTATTTTCTGCTTTGCTTTCCCTCTAGCCAGCTTCTGTATTACCGTTTTCACAAGACTTCACCACTGTAGTGAGGGTCCCAGAGTGGCTTTCTTAGTGTCCAGGTATCTTTAGGCAAGAACATGCACTGGAGAAATGAACAGACCTGACAGGCACAAGCCCATGTCTAAATTTTCAGGTTTCTCAACACTGTTTCATGCCCTGAGGAAGTGCTGAACAACTGTGCATAGTGATTGTTGCACGTGCTATTTCCTGAATATAATTTAAAAGATTCCTAGCGGTGAGTGTAGGGAGTGCTGTAGAGAGAACCTAAAGTTATTACTCCTGATGGTAGTTAATTAATACCTACAAGTAGCTTGTACTCTCAACTCATATTTCAAGGGGAAGTTGTAGCCTGGTTGTTGCACAGAGATCCTAGGAAACATCTTTCTATGACTAGCCAGAATAGCTGCCCACTGTTTGTGAGGTAGCAGCATTTTAGAGCTTTAGAAAGAGCTGAGACCAGGAGGAAGAACCAGGCAACCAGCTAGGCTTCTCCTATTCTCCAGGAAACCAAAGAAGTTATTACTCTGATAGGAGCCATGGGAAATGAGTTTTAGTTTTAGTTTTAGGGACTTTGGAGTGCCCACAAATGGTTGAAGTGAGCAAAAATAGGAGAACGGGAAGAGTAAATTAAGTGATATATTTATAAGCCTCAGGTCCTCTGCAGCATTCAAAACTGGAATGCCAGGTGACAACCAGAACCTCCATGAAGTGATTCAGAATAAGTCTGCCACTCAAGGTTTAGTTAATAATTTACTCTCTAGACTACTACATTAAGTATTTTCTTCTTTAAGGCGTTTTTTTAAACTGTCTCTTTAAATATTGGTTAAGTCATAGTGGTACTATAATAAAGGACAGTATTTTCATAAGAGCAATCTCAGCTGTCCCATATTCAGATCATGAATTTAATGATTGAGAGTAAAACCATACAGTGGACAATAACACCTGTTTCCTGTACCCTCCTCCCCCTTCCACTTGATCCCCTCCAATCTCTCTTCCCATGTAGCCAGAGTAATTTCCTGACATATAGACCTTACCATGTCATTTCATGTGTAAAGTCTTTTGTTAGTTCCTGTGGGCTCCATAATAAAGTGCAACCCCCTTAGCACGTGCAGAAGGTGGCTGTCCATGACCCCGATCTCCCTCTGCCTCTCCAGTCTCGTCTCCCACTACCCTATAATCCAGCCATGTTTCATTAATTCCAATTCCCCAGGCATGCCGTACTCTTTCATGCTTTTGACTTTGCTTAGTCTGCTTCCCACAGTGTGTTCCCCCAACATGAAGACTCAGCTCAGGTATCAACTCTCTCAGGAATCTTTCCTGCCCACTGCTTCCCACCAGCTGCTGCTCATCTGGGCTCTCGGATTGTCTTGTGGACATGGGGTCTCCTGTCTCCACTTACCCAAGACTGTCTTATTACCTGTTTACCAGGTTCCTAATACAGAGTAGGTGCTCAATTAGCACCTGCCGATCAGATTAATGAATAAGTGATTAAGTGAGTGAATGAGCAAATTTGGTATATTATGAAAGCTGCAAGTGACTGTAACTGGCCAGTTAAGGGCTAGAGCCAGGTATAACTTTTTTTGTCATAACAGATGCCATAGGGTCCTTAAAGTTTCATTCTTATCTTTTGTGGAAATTACCACTGTGTGTCTTTCTGAATATCAGGTGTATGTGTGTGTGTGTGTGTGTGTGTGTGTGTGTGTGTGTGTGTGTGTGTGTGTGTGTGTATCTCCCATGCAGGTATAGCTACATATCCAGTGTGGGTATTAACAAAGCCTCAAAGGAGGTTCGGTCCCCATTCAGCCTGCTTGCTGTCACCTGAAATATAACACCTCCCCACTGAATCAACATACTCTTCTGCCGCGTGGAGCCTTTTCTTGGAAATTTCATAAACTCTCTGAGGATACTGATCATTTTTTATCAGTCACATTGAAAAGCCTTAGACTATCTGATTCACCTTTGCATTCATTCAACACACATGTCCTATATGCCTGCCATATGGCTTTATGAGACCTATTAAGTTGATTTAGTGGTGACTAGCCACTCAGTGACTGTATCTCCTGACTCTCTTCTCACCTGCCTTTTCTCCGGTGTCCATCCCAAACTCACTACACACAACTTTGCGGGTAAGTCCTTTTAGTGAACTATGGGTGATCTATCACACAAGTGTCTCCCTGCATGTGTTTCCTTCCACCCGACTCCTCTGAGCACACTCCTGTAAACCGTGAAGGGTTGCTGCCTTAGGAGAGCCACGCTCTGGAGGGAGCCTGGGGACCAGCTGTCTTCAGAGCACTGCAGGCTGCTGTCATATCTGTGTCAGGAAGGGAAAGTGTTTTCTCATAAAATGTTTTGTCTTCTCTTTTAGCTTACATTTTACTATGGTTCCAAAGATAATTGGTGTCCAAAAGAGTACTATGAAGACATCAAGAAAGATTTTCCAGAAGGAGATATTCGACTCTGTGAGAAAAATATACCTCATGGTTTTATCCTCCATTTTCACCAGGAAATGGCTGAAATTGTAGCTGACCGGCTGAAGGATGATCTCTCCAAAATATAAATACTGACACAAGGAAACGGGCACCTACAGCCAGTACATGGAGGCAGTGGGTGCACTATGCTTACTATGTAAATGTTTCATTTTGATGCTTGATATTAGAAAAGAAAAAAGTGAGAACCTCTTGACTGAAAAACTACCAGCTCCCAGCTCCCCATGCTACAGGATGAAGTAAACATAGTTGATCATTCCATAGGTTTAACAACACATTTTCCAAGACTCAGGGAACACAGTGATCTAAACAAGATGTCATGTTTACACAAGATACCCACTAGCACCATATGGTTTATTTTGGTAGGCAGGATCCTTGCAGACAAAAGAAAATCTAAATTTAGTTGATTTCAATTGAGTTACATTGTAGAATAGGCTCTCCTGGAGAAAATCATGAAGTACGTGGTAGAAAACGTAAAAGTAATCAGTAAGTGTTAAGTGCATGAGTATAGTCAGATATGTGAAGTGTATAAGATCAGGAGGAGCATACACTCATGTTCCAGGAGCGGGAAGTGATGAGCAGTGGGTATTAGCAGTGGACCTGGGTCTCCTTTAAGGACAGAAGATGAAGGTCATCCCAGACTAACTTTGCATAGATCTTGAAAGAGATCATCACTGTGACTTCCCCATCTTCCTGCTTAGAGAATGAAGTTCTCCAGACATTGCTCTGGTCAGCTAACCAGATAAAGAGTTGTTGGAGGATCCCAGCTACACCTCCTGCCACAGGACGGCCAGGAAGCTCTGTACTGAGCCTTAGCCTGCCAGGTTATGAGCTCCTTATAGGCTCCTCTTCTCCCAAGGAGAAGGGGAGGTGCTGGGCTGTTCCAAATTAGGCCTGGATGTGCCAGCATGTAGTTGCTCCTTCTGTGATTTCTGCAATAAAACTCTGGTGAAGACCAATAGCAGGCCAAGTACTGTGCTAGCCATTGGGGATAGAGTTCTCAGCTAATTTACAATTCTTTTCTGCTAAAAATCTTCTAGTAAATAATATTTGAAAGGGTGCTTTGAATTGCTGTGTACAGCATCACGGTAAATTTGTTCTCTATTTCTGCGTTAGCTTCATTTGTTGGAAAGAAATTGTTTTGCTAGTGAACCAAAGCAAGCCATCAAATTATGTGAATTCAGCTTTTTTGGACACATTGAGGACTGGTAGAGAAGAAGCATGCTCCCTAGCCTAGAGTAGGCTGACAATATTGCTGCCTCCCTACATTCACTCAATCCTGAAACCTTAAAAGCCAGTAAATCCCACTGACTGCAGCGATGGTTGAGGACTGATCCAAAACATTCCATTTTCTCCTAGAGGAAATCCCTCATGGCCTTATCATTCCTTAAGAACAATGGGATGTTGTCCTTAATCTCAAAACCTGAACTCCCCTGATGAAAAATTCAGCTCTGAGAGTTTTTTAGTAGATGATTTGGGCTGTTCGATATATAGGATCATATCATCTGCAAACAGGGACAGTTTGACTTCATCCTTTCCAATCTGGATGCCCTTTATTTCCTTCTCTTCTCTGATTGCTCTGGCTAATACTTCCAAAACTATGTTGAATAGGAGTGGTGAGAGTGGGCATCCTTGTCTGGTTCCTGTTCTTAAAGGAAAAGCTTTTAGTTTTTCCCCATTCAGGATGATATTGGCAGTGGGTTTATTGTATATGGCTTTGATTATGCTGAGATATTTTCCATCTATACCTAATTTATAAAGGGTCTTTATCATGAATGAGTGTTGGATTTTATCAAATGCTTTTCCGGCATCAATAGAGATGATCATATGGTCCTTGTGTTTGATTTTATTAATATGGTGGATCACATTTATTGATTTGCATATGTTGAACCAACCTTGCTTCCCTGGGATGAATCCCACTTGATCATGGTGAATGATCTTACATATGTGCTGTTGTATTCTGTTTGCTAATATTTTATTGAGAATTTTTGCATCTATATTCATCAAGGATATCAGCCTGTAGTTTTCTTTCTTGGTTATATCTTTACCTGGTTTTGGTATCAGGATGATGTTTGCTTCATAGAATGTGTTTGGAAGCTTTGCTTCTGCTTCAATCTTTTGGAATAGTTTGTAAAGAATCGGTGTCATTTCCTCTTTGAATGTTTGGTAAAATTCTGCTGAGAATCCATCTGGTCCCGGGCTTTTCTTTGTTGGGAGCTTTCTGATAACAGCTTCAATCTCCTTTATTGTTACTGGCCTGTTCAGGTTTTCTATATCTTCTTGATTTAATTTTGGAAGCTTGTGTGAGTCCAGAAATTTATCCATTTCCTCCAGATTTTCGAACTTGTTGGCATATAGCTGTTTATAGTAGTCTCGGATGATTCCTTGTATTTCATTTGGGTCAGTTGTAATATCACCTTTTTCATTTCTAATTTTTGTTATTTGAATCTTCTCTCTTCTTTTTTTTGTTAGCCATACTACTGGTTTGTCGATTTTATTTATCTTTTCAAAAAACCAACTTTTTGATTTTTTTATTTGTAGAGATGAAAAGATGG